TTATTTTATTTTATTTTACTTTGACAAAAATATTTGCGTTTTTGAAATGAAATAATTGGTAAAAATATTGATGATGCGGAGTTTTGCCCGTTTATTGTTCAAAGAAATCGATAAATATCATTGATGCGGAATTTCGACTTTCGTAATGAAAAAAATATATAAAATAATAACGTGGAATTTCGATTTTTTTTTTTAAATATTAAAATAAACAAATCGATGATACGGAATATTTTTGAATTTTTATAAGAATGAAAAATCAAAAATAAATCTTTCATCAATGAAATCGTAAACTATCGAAATCAAAATTACCACGAAGATATTACGTTGATTATTAAATGAATATTAAATATAATGACGCGATTTTTTTAATTTAATTCAACTATAAATAAGATCAATTTAGAAAAATAAGTCGAAAGAGAAAGAATAATGTTCGTTTTCAAGAAAATCCAATTTGAAAATTGAAACATTAGTTTTCAGATAAATTGGATTTAATCCTTCATTAGCAGTTCGTCACTGAGGATGCATTCCATAATAGCACGAATTTTTTGTCGCTATTATTATGTTGTTGTTATTATTATTATTATTATTATTATTATTATTATATATTCAAACGTTATTGCATTAAGCTTTCATCTTTATCATCGCATTACCGTGATATGTACATTGAATAAAATAGATACAAATTTTACATAATGCGTCATTTTCCCGCAGTGCAATGCACTTTGGTCATTAAATACATGTATACATACGTACAACATAATCGGTCAGAGGATCAAACAAAAAAATTATTCTTTCGCATCACCATTTGGATACAAATATCGCGTTTAGTCATCGAATGACTAAATATCTTTTCACAATGTATATTTCGAAACAATGATCTCACGTGCAAGAATCCAAAATAAAAAAAATAAAGTTAAATGAGAGAAGAAGAAGAAGAAGTACAATAACGGATACATATTCTATAACACGTCGAAACCAATATTCGTTGCCAAAAAATTTCTTATATTCATTTCGAGAAACCGATCGTTCCTGTTTTCGTTGATGCTCGTACAAAAAAAAAAATTGATTCGTCCATTCTTCAGGGATGGATTAACGACGAAATATAAAGCTCTCGTTGTTGTTCAAAAAAATATATTCAGTCGTCGCAAAGGAAATAATAATAAAAAAAAAATGTGGTAGCTTGGACGTCAGCAACGAAGAGGAGAGAAATACTTGGGCATATTTCATATCGTGCAACGTGACGAAGCTCGATCGGAAAGAAACGCTGCCGTGCAGTTTCGACTCGGTGAAGCGGAACACGTGCAATATTTCTCTATACGTTGAGATTAGAGCTGGCTCTAGGATAAAAAAAAAAAAAAGGCGAGGGACAAAATGGCGAGCCTAAACCTGGATTTTGCCCGGCTTTCAGCTTTCGCAATTATTTCGCGATCGTCAATTTTGCCCCCGAAATTTGGTGGAAATTTTCGGGCCGCCCGCTAATTAGAAATACGGCACGAGGGGCGGTGAAATTTATTTTGCGATACTGGAAATAAGGTTACCTTGCAACCGGGAATGCAAAACGCGCAAACGAGTAATTATAAATGAATAATATGGCGCGCTCGCTACCGGATAGAGGCGGAATTCGGCAGATATTGCAACTGAGCTTGCTTCCTCGTCTATTTGAAACGTTTCGATAATTAAAAAAAAAAAAAAAAAAAAAAAAAAAAAAAAAAAAAGAAAGAAAAAAAAAAAACCTTTGGAACGAATCAGATTTGGATAATTGAATAACCAAGGATCGTGTTATCGGCTTCTCACAGTTTTTACATTTATTTCTTCTCGACAAATTTTCCTTCGAACTTTGAAAATTCGATATTTATGACAAACTTTTCCGTTAATTTTTACATTTAAATTTTCGCAATGATTATTCTTTCGAACGGATATCGGTACATTGGATCGTTTAATTTGTTTTTTTTTTATATAAAAATTGGGAAAAAATTCATCAAAGATGTACCTTCGAATGGCTATTTTTAGACCATTTTGTAATTAGATGTTGGGGAGAAAGTTATACGAGATTCATATTTGCCACGGTTTTACAATGCACGATTACAGTACAGGAAACGAGTGTCTTATTGGAGTAATAAAAGACCTGAATGTGCCATTACAGGATTAATATCTGTGCACTGTGTCTTATCCAGGTTACCTCTTACTTAAGCCCTCGTTCATAGGTAAGCATACTTTTTCACATTACCTAGGCAAACTAAGTCCTTCATATCCAGAACTAATTTCGTTACACTACTCTCTCCCTCTCTTTCTCTCTCTAAATAAGATCCCTCTAAATTAAACTCTTCGTACTCGAACTCAAAGCTTACACCCACTACGATATCCACTCGATTCTGCCCTGTTTTACGCGTTCAACTTTTATTTCAATTTCTTTAATTTCCATTCCCACACCGTCGAGATAATTTTCAACGAAAACGACAAAATTGAAGATGATGGGCCGATATTGAAGATATTAGACAAATAGGAGATTGAGAATCTATTCCTACTTCGAGGAAACGTAAACTGAGACAAGCTTATCGGATAGAACAATGATAAGCTTAATGTTCGAATTAAAGTTAATAGTAAATGACACGTCAAACGGGTTTAGACTTAACAAACGAGGCGAATTTTCTTCCAAAAATATATATATACACACATAAACTTAAATATCCCATTTTTATCTTAAAAGCTTACGAAAATAGGGAGTCGTTTTTTGAATTAATGATGATTTTCGCGAAAATAAAAACTCGAATGTTTTACTTCTATCTGGAAAAACAGGCCTGTACGTAAAACGGGCAAAATTGAAACAAAACGGATAAAATATCCGAGTCAGCGTGGCCCCTGATTTTAATTCGTCCCACGTCCCTTACCCTTTCCCCCGGCTCAACCAAGCTCGTTTCTTCTTGCACCGTACCTCAACCAACACCCCCTAACACCCCCTTGACACGAACGCAACCCCAATGTAGGCGGAACTACGGCAAACTTTACAGTGACGTATACGTACAGACACTCGACTGTCTCTCTCGACCTCTTAAAGTTCACTATCAAATACCGACATTTTTCATCGATCGTTACATTTATAGATACGCTTTTTATTTTTTTTTTTTTCCCTCTTATTTTTTTATTAGATATTTACGAATTAATAACTCTTACCTTAGTCTTTCGTAATCGATTTTTACATTTTACATTCTTCCTCCACAAAAATTTTAATCTTATTTCCATTTCCAGAGTGGAAATTCTGCAGAATTGATCTACAATTAGAATTTCCAATCGTCGTATCAATCTTTGGATTAATCAGGATCACCGAGACAAATAGATCGGATTAATGGAAAGTTACATAATAGATGGTGAGAGAGGATCGAGTGACGGATTGCGTTGTAACAAAATAAAAGGGCGCCATGTTCGCACGGGCCTGACGGAAGCCGGCCGGCGAAGGAACAGCAGCGGTGAACCGTGCACACGCACGCTGACAAACGCTCGAGATCTGACGATAGCGCGAGAAGAGATGATTTATGAACGAGGGACACGCCAAGTCGTTTGCTCTAGCCCACCAGGATGAAGTGACCAACGGCGTTACAATCGGTTCGAAGGCTAAGGAATTAACGCTGCATCTACACTTCCCAAAGGTGAACCTTAAAGTTCGCCTTAACTTTAATACTCTTTATGAAAAATTATTCCAGTGTATATAGACGTTGGATTATTCATCGATACTCTCTCAGCTCGTCGATTCTTTCGTTTCGAATCGATTAGAGAATCGTATAAGTGAATTGTCGGTGAATGATTCGTGTTCAGACACGCTTAATTCGGATAAGAGCCGTTTGTGGAACGTACCATCTCTCGAACGAGCAGTAGATAAGTTTAACTCTAACTATTCGTCGAGTATCTAACCACGTTATCAACGATCAGGTGGCGGCGTTCAAGAGGGGATTAAGAAAGGAAATAAATAAATAAATAAGACAAAATAAAATGTATGCAGGTCAGAGAGAAATAATAATAAGAGTTAATAAATGATAAATAAACATTTGAGTAGCCTCGATGGCGCGGCGAGCTAATAACGATCGAGGCACGGAGTGATTAATGACTCTGCTCTCGACTCGATCATCATTTACCAACCGATGGTCTTCGCAGTGGAACAAAAGATATTTTATTCTTATATCCTATTAAATTATTATTACATTTATATTACAGATCAAGGTCGAGCAGGATTTATTTTCGATCAAGCGGTTCTTACGATATATTAAGACAAAGAGAGAGAGAGAGAGAGAG